TGCTTTCTCTGTAAGTTCTTCAAGATTCTGTGCCATCCCTTCCTGAACAAAATTCAAAAGCACAAAAACTAAAAGGTGTTTTCCTCATTCCACCACTCCAGGTCAACTAAGTAGGAGTATGTTTGAACAGGGATGGAATATTATAGAGAGTGTCAATTCTGGCAGCTGGCTACCAACAAAAATATATACAATTACTGCCCTCCTATTTGCAAATTTCCTTTTGGAATGGAGTTTATAACTTCATTCCTTAAAACTAATTTAGACCCAAACTTGTCATGCAAGTCTGTGGTCTGGAAGAAAAAAAATATTTTGCAGCGTTAGAACTAATGCATTCAGGTATTTCTGCTTGTTTAGAGGTGACAACAACAAATAACAGAAAAATGCATGCAAAGTTGGAGCCACTTCTGCAATGCTCACCTGGATTGCACTCCCCTCAGATTTTGTGGCAGGTTCTAACTGATTGTGCTCTTCTTTTTTCCCATGTGTGAATCATCACTTAAGATCTTCGGAAGCAACTGACACCATCTACGTGAAATTGTGCAAGGCATTTGACATTGTCCCACACGACATCCTTGTCTCTAAACTGGAGAGATGTGGGTTTGATGGGTGGACAACTCTGTGGGTAAGGAATTGGCCAGCTGGTTGCACTCAAAGGGTTGTGGTCAACAGCTCAATGTCCAGGTGGAGAGCAGTGACGAGTGACATTCCTCAGGAGTGGGTGTTGGGATCAGTGCTGTTTGACATCTTTGTCAGTGACATGGACAGTGGGACTGAGGCTCCTTCAGCAAGTTTGCTGATGACACCAAGCTGTGTGCTGTGATCAGCTCACTGGAGGGAAGGGATGACATCCAGAGGGACCTGGACATGCTGGAGAGGTGAGCCTGTGCACACCTCATGAAGTTCAGCAAGGCCAAATGCAAAGTCCTGCAGCTGGGTTGGGGCAATCCCAGGCACAAATACAGGCTGGGTGAAGAATAGAGAACTGAGAATTGAGAGCAGCTCTGAGGAGAAGGACTTGGGGTTGCTGTGGGATGAGAAGCTCAACATGACCTGTTGATGTGCCCAGAAAGGCAAACATATCCTGGGCTGTATCAAGAGATACAGGTCAAGGGAGGTGATTCTCCCCCTGTACTCTGTTCTTGTTAGACTCCATCTGGAGTACTGTGTCCAGCTCTGGGGACCCCAACACAGGAATGATGTGGACCTGTTGGAGTGAGTCCAGAGGAGGCCACAAAGATGATCAGAGGGCTGGAGCATCTCTCCTGTGAAGAAAGGCTGTGAGAGGGATGGGGTTAATCAGCCTGAGAAGAAGGCTCCACAAAGACCTTAAAGTACCCTCTGGTACCTAAAGGGGGCTACAAGAAAGCTGGAGAGGGACTTTTGGCAAGAGCATGTAATGACAGGACAAGGGAAAATGGCTTTAAACTGAAAGATAATAGGTTTAGATATTAGGAAGAAATTCTTTACTGTGAGCATGGTGAGGCAGTGCAACAGGCTGCCTAGAGAAGTTGTGGATGTCCCATCCCTGGAACTGTTCAGGGCTGGGTTGGATGGGGCTTGGAGCACCCTGGCCTAGTGGAAGGTGCCTCTGCCCATGGCAGGGGGTTGGAAGTCCATGATCTTTAAGGTCTCTTTCTACCCAAACCATTCTGTTTCTATGATCTTTGAGTGTTTTGGAATATAGTAGCTAGCACACTGTTACCTATAGATAAATAATAAAAGGATAAAATGTTTAAAGGTATGAATGATAAAAAGCAATAAAAACCAGTCAAGCCCCTCCCTTACTCAGGGCTTCAGGGAAATAAGCCAGTAGGGGAAAACAACTGCTGCAGGCAAAGTGATTAGCTGTCTACCAAATCCATAGGCACAAAAAGGAGACACTCTCTTTTTTTCTTTTTTTCCTGGTAGAACAGGGTGCAGAGCTTAACTCCTTGGTAATAAGATCCTAATACAACCTTCTCTCTGACCACTAACATTACAGCATTTTTCAGCTAAGTCAATTTTCTGATGACTCATGTTGTCTTGGTGCAAGAGCCTGGGCAGGGGGAGGGACACAAACCACAAAACACAGCTATCTTGATCTATTTAAAACCCTGTGCAAGAAAAAGCTTTCAGAGGGAAAGTAGGAAGATCACAGCCTAGCCTGACTCAGCCTCATCTGCTTCCACCAAGTACTGACCAGCCTGTGATTCTTGTTCTTGCCATGGAAGTCACACCCATCCCCAATGCCCTTATTTTTATACACACATATATATATATGCATGTATTGAGACAAAATCTTGGCTTCTCCCCCCTCCTTTTGCATACAAAAATACAAGACTTGACTCATGAACTATAATGACATGTACTGTGCAGTTTTATATATTAACTGATGCATCCCATGAGCCATGTCCTTGAGGCTCCTTGGCTTTAAGATACCTTTAAGATGCCTTCTGCTGTAATCAATTTGTTAGTGCAAACTGTTCTGAATCTCATTATTTATTGCTCCTCTAATGTCTGCCTTACTCTATCTAGAGTGTATTTTACTTGAGCTAAAAATGACAACTGTTTCTCACAGTGCATGTGAATATGCCTGGTTTGAGCACAGCTGTGGTAGTTTGGCAAGTTGTCTTTTTGTCTGTGTGTGGCTTGGAAATAAAGTCACTTATCAAAGTATCTGAGATCATAAAGATACTTTTTATATTAGGCTGCTGTCATTTGTCATTATCACTTAGAAGTATCAGAATCACTTTATCAGAGCAGACTAAAAGGTTGCTGAACTCTGTATGTAATTGGGAACCCTTAAAATGGTCCAGTCCCTCAAAAGGAAATGTAACTCCTACTAACATATCTAATTGTTTTATATAGTGCCGCTCATGGAAATTTTTCCCAATTCAACATCTAACGTACAAAATCTGCATTAAGACTGCAATCTCATCTTTGTTTACTGCAATGTCAGGAGCCAGCATTTATGTAATTGCCTGACCACCCCACCTTTTAGGCCAAATTGCTTTCCACAACAGCCAGCAGCAAAGTCCCATCCCTTGTCCTTCACATGACAAATACATTCCTGGTTTTATCTGTTGTTGCCTTCCCCCTGCATTACAAGATCACTTTCCTGATCCCAAGAGCCTTGATCCTCTCCCATGACCTTGAAAAGAGGGAACTCTAAAGCAGCTCCCAGGTGGGAGGTGGCAGAGTCTCCAGCTGGTGTGAGTCTCAGCAGGTTTTGCTGCAGCTGAGTCGGGATTACCGGGGCTGCTGCCAGCCCAGCGGCCGGGCCTCCATATGGGAGCCACGTGCAGTTCAGCAACTGCAGCTTAGTCAGAGGGAAGGCAAACCCTTGAGTCACACTATCCTCCTACTTCTGTTACCAGAGCTTTACTTGTAAGGAAATGCCACCTTTGCTGCCCAGCAGCGCTAGTTTTCAGCTGCTCTTCCACCAAAACTTTTCTTGTTTGTTTTTTTTTTTTTTTTGGTTTTGAATGCTAAGAGGATAGACGCAACACTCAAGGCAATACTACGCTATTGTAATACTATATTTTCTGACGTTACTCATAGCCTAGATCAGCATCACGTTGTCTCTTGTGCAACATTTAAACAGTATTGTCTAAACCCATACCAGGAGAAGTTACTGGGAGATCAAAAGGAGCGCGGGTGAAACTGCATTAGCTGCTTTTGTCTGAGGTTTCACTGGCACTGAGTAGAGGCTGTAATGTGGTTTTCAGCCGACTGGGTGCAAGGCAGAAGGGAGCCACGCAGCAGAACAGGTTCTCCCTCTCACCCTTGTCTTCAGGGGAACAAAACTTTATCATCCAGCACAGGGCTCTGCATCTTTTGCATTGCATTCGTTCAGCCACAGAAAGATTGGCAAGCTGACGTGTTAGGAAACCAGGGTAATCCCTCTCCTTGTTGCTGACTTTTTTCCTGGCATCTCCCCAAGAAGGGAGGGAAATGGAGTTAAAAACATTACAAAAAGAACAAGCACCGCCAAACTAAAAATCATCCAGCCTAACAAAGTTCTTCTTTACCCTACAAGGGAAAAACCTTCTAAAGCATGTATTGTTAAACAAAATGTAGGCTGATTGTTTTAACTTATACAAACATCTGCCAACTAGTACCATGTCCAGAGAGCTCACGCTTTACTAACTGTCCTAACAGTCGGGCTGAAAAATAAAGTGCTAGGAAACATCTGAACTTAAGGTGGAAAAAAAAATTCTTCTAATTTTAAAAGAAAAACAAACAAACTCAACACCACCAAACAAGTGCTAAAAAAGTGACATCTCAGTACAAGGATATGTCTACAAACTTGGTATTTCGGTCTCTGAGAAGAAAACTTAGGTTATGGAAGGAAATACGTATTTATTAAATAGTTAACCTGTTTTATGTACACATCATATCGTGATAAGTAAGCACACTTTAATATTAGAACTTAATATTAGAACACAATATAGACACCCAATTCTGAGGTACTTTACTTCAGGAAATGAAAAAAAAAACATGGAGAAAATCAATACTATCTGGATAACATAAACCTGATTAATTCTTGGTATCCAAGGAGGATTACAGAGGAAAGAAATGCAAGAGGTGGGGAGGCAAGTATCCCAGACCTATCTGGTGAGAGGAAAAAAAGAACTCCCCACAGTACATTAAGACACTTCCCGAAAAAAAGCAAGAGTCATTCCTAGGCTTTGCTCCAACTTCCATGAATTGCTGCCTGCAGAGTAACCATGACTCGATCCTTCTCAGATTCTGTTAAAGAGGAATTGACCTTCAAGCCAGCATTCACACAAAACAACTGCACTGTCTGCCTGGAAACAGCTTACCAAAACTCAGGCTATGTATGGTGCAGTTAATACAGTCAATCGTACATTTTAGGTATGCTGAGTTATCATCACTGCCTAATTGCTTCCTTTGTGGTAGGGAAAAAAAAGCAAGCCACAAAAGCCCCTCTCCTGAACATGCAGATTTCTGTGTCTAGTAAGGCAGCTCAGAAATAACTTAGAAGAACAACAGAAGAATTCCAGATGTTAAAAATATCATTTAATTAAAGAAACATAAATCATACCAAAAGTTTAAGTCACTCTTAGTTAATACATTTGCATTTATTTTAGAATATACTCTACATCTGAGTAAAAAAGGTTTAAATAAACTCCAGTACATGTACAACCGTGGGACCCGCCATCTGTCCCGCAACAGAGGGATGCTCCTTAGCCCACTGGGTTCCCTCCGGGTTAACAGAAGCAATTTTGTGCCAGTTTCGTTATGTTCATCGGCTTGTTTTGAGCCTCCTTATAAGCCAGCCACGCCACCACCTCGTACACGCAGGGGTTCAGCCTCCCCGCCCGGGCGGGCACAGCAACCGCTCGCCCCGGACCGTACAGTGAAAAAAACCACGGAGGGGGTCAAAACAATTAATAAGCTAGTATTGATTAATTTACATCTCTCTCCCGCTTGTGCGTTGGTAGAAAACCTGCTGCAGTCCTGGGAGAGCGTAGGGGAGCCTCGGCCCTGGGCGCTGCCCTTCGTCACCGCCGCGGCAGCAGCGGCAGCGCCGGGTGGGGACGCCGCTCCCGCTCCGCTCCCGCCGGGCCGGGCCGGGCGCCCCTTTCCCGCTCCCCACCCCGACGCTCACTGCCCCCAGCTGCTGACGCCGATCTCCTGCTTGTATCTGTTGGTGAGGACGTTGGCCTTGCGGGTGAGCTTGGAGAGGACCGAGTGGAGTCCGCTGAGGTGGTAGTGGAACTGCTGCTCCAGGTCCTCCTCCCCCTCGCCCTCCTCGGCGGGCCCGCCGCCCAGCTTGTCCTTCTTGCGGGCCGCCTCCTCGCCCGCCGGCGGCTGCACCACGCCCCACTCGATGTCGTTGCGGATGGATTTGAGCAGCATGTAGTGGCTGTACATGTCCCTACGGGAGAAGTAGGCGCCGGGGTCGCCGGGCGGCAGGGCAGCATCCCGGGGCGGGCACACGGCGCCGGCCGCGTCCAGCTCCTCCAGCAGCAACGGCACGTCCCGCAGCAGGCTGGGCACCATCACCGTCTGGTCCATGTTGTTGACGGCGCCGATGAACCGGTTCATGGCGTTGAAGAGGGAGTACTTCTGGCTGTACGAGTCGCAGATCTGCATCATGTCGGCGGCCGGGCGGGCGATCTCAGCGAAGACGCTTGGACCGGAGCGCAGGGCTCCTTCGGCGGCGACCTCTTCCTTCTCCTCCTCCTGCTCCGCGCTAGCGGCAGCGGCCGCCCTCCGCCGCGGGCTGGGCTCGGCGGCTGATGGCGAGCAGAGTCCTGCTGGGAGGAGGCGGCGGGCGCCGGGGTTAGGGGCTGCTCTCCCTCCCTCCCTCTCGCTCCCTCCTCCCTCCCCCAGCCCGCCTTCCCGTCCCGTCCCCTCCCGCCAGCGCCCTCTCCTCCTCCCCTGCCGCCTCCTTTATTCCCAGTCCCGTCTCCTTTCCTCAGCATTTCCTTTACCGTTCCTTCTCTTCGCCCTCCACCTCCCCTGCTACAGCAGCCGCTCCCCTCCGTACAAAATGAGGCAAAGGGCGAAAGAAGCCCCTGCAACTTCTCCCGGGATCCAGCCCCAGGGGATGGGTGGCAGCCCCACACCGCGCCGGAAAATTAAAATTCAAGCGGTCCCCAGCCGGCAATCCCCGGCCGAGGGACAGACCCACCGCGGGGGAGGCACCCACCGTGCTCCGGAGCCCTTCGCCGCCGCCCGTGGCCGCGCTCCCATCCCCAATGCCGTATTTATAGCGCGTATCTCACACCAAGGTGTTCCCCAGTGCCACCCCCCGCGCCGCCACCACAGATAAAGGCGGCGGGCGGCGGCCGCGCAGCTCCGGCCCCGCCTCTCGCTCCGCACTGGGGGAGGGCGACGGGAGCGCATCCCGCACCGCCGCCCGAGGGGGGCCGGGAGCGCATTCCGCACCGCCGCCCGAGGGGGGCCGGGAGCGCATCCCGCACCGCCGCCCGAGGGGGCCGGGACACAGGGTGCTCGGCGCTGGGAACTGCGGGGCTGAGCCCCTGGGGGAGCCGCGCTGGGTCCCGCCTGCCCGATCCCCGCTCCAGTGAGGCGACGGTGGCAACCCCCGCGCCCCAACCCTGGGAGAAGGCACCGGCGGTCGCAGAGCCGTCCCGGGCACCGGCACCGCCCCGAGCGGGGGTGGGTGGCGAGGGGCTCCGTGACCGAGCAGCACCACGACACGACCCCAGGCCCGCTCTCCCCTCACCGCCCGCCGCCCCCTCACGGCGGGCAGGGCGGGCGGGGCCGCGCCGCGGGGGGGCGGGGCCTGGCGGTTGATTGGCAGGTGACTGACGGGCCGTGCCGTGGGGACACGCGGGCCCCGCGTGCCGCCCGCGTTTCCCCGGCCCGCCCATTGGCTGCCGCGCGCGCGGCGAGCGTGACGCCGGGCCCCGCTCCCCCCCCGCGCTCCGCGTGCCTCGGCGGCGGGCGCTCGGCCGGCACTGTGTCCCACGGCCGCGGCTCCGCGCCGCCCTCCCCCGCCCCGCCGCCACAGCCCCCGCGAGGGTAAGCTCGGGCAGCCCTCGGGCAGCCTTTGTCTGCGGGCCGGGGCAGCGCGGGGCGGCCGGCATCACCCCACAGCCTCACCTCCCGGCCGCGGCCAATCGGCGCGCCGTCCGGGGTCCCACCCCAGCCAATCAGCGAGCCCGCGGCGGTAGCCAATGGGAAACAAGAGCGCCCCCTTCCACCCCCCTCCCCCAGTCGCGTACCCCCGCCCTGGTAACAGGCGGGTTGGGCGCGAGCGCCGCCGCGGGTCACGTGGGGCCGGGATGAATGGGGGGGGACGTTGCCATGGCAACGGGCCGAGCATCACCCGGAGGCGCCGGGGGCGTCCCGAGCTCCGCAGCATCCCGGGAATGAGGCAGGGGATGCGCAGGGACGAGCACCTGAGCCTGACTGCCCCAGAGCCTGCCCGCAGCGCTGCTCCCCGCAGCCTCCGCGAGCCCCCAGTGCCGCCCAAACTCCAACGCGAAGGCAGGAGGCCGCTTCCCTATGTGAGGGATGGGGCCGCCGGCAGCTCGCTCGTTGAAAGTACTTGTGGATAAGCAGTAGCCGGAGATACGGGCTGGTATAAAATAACGAGCTTTTTGGAGATAATTCACTACGGGGAAAATAATAATAATAAAAAAAAATAATCTCACCAGGCCAGAAAATTGGCCACGACTTATATTTGCATCTTTATATAGACGTGGTGTGTCGTTAATACACCATTAAGGGTTTTGCTGCCTTTAATTGAAATGCAGCCTGCACTGAACATTCAATAAATTGGAAAAAGCAATAAATCTTTAGAAACAAGGGGAATTGGTTTATTGTCCAACTTTCCAAATTAAAACAAAACAATTAAACATCTGAACAAATTAAAACTGAAGTCTTTTACCTGAGGTTACAGCGTGCTGGCTGGCAAGGAGGAAGAGTTGACAGTGATAACCCAGCTTCAACCTGCAGACAGGGGAAGCACTTATGTCTTCAATACAATGATAATACAAATATAAAATTATAGATGGATCACAAAATGACTTTCACCAGCACCTACCCTCTTTGTTTCCCAAAATGTGTAGCCACGTGGTCTGTTTCCACCTTTGGCTGTAAATGTTTCCTTATTTTAGCTTATCACTAGTGCAGTGCTGTAGCCTGTGCAGGCATGTGCCTCACCCACTGGGCTGAGACAGATCATACTCAAGTCAAACTTAACAGCATAGGGCAAGGCAAGGGGCTTTTTTTTTTTTTTTTCCTTTTTTAACTTCCTTATGTTCTACTCAATTTTGATACGCGGTGTAACTGTCTCTGGTACATATAATGTATATCATTAACACAAGCCTGAGTAAGTTTGATTGCTCTTTGGTTAAAACAAAATAAAGAAGTGTGTATTCCCAGCTCCAGTGGTATGTAACTGCCATGGCTGTGCACACAGAAGAAAAAGAAATGGCACTCTTCTTTTTCCACTCCTCTTAAGAAAAAGTGATCCCATTTAAGGCACAAACTTTTATATGTAAATGGCATTTGTTTAAAATTCTTCCTCTTTAGAATGATCTGATTATTGTGGCCATGCAGTGCCTGGAAGGGGAATCAGTTGGAAACCCTTTATCTTGTGTTCTGAGCAATGAGGAAGCTGCGATATTCACTATGTGGCAGTCCAAGAAGGTGTAAACATGTACTTTTGTCCAGCACAGGGTCCTGGATAAGGAAAGCGACACAACAACGTGGAACAGTAGACTTTATCCAGCACCTCAACTGGATGGAGCACTCCTGATGTACAAGCCCAGCAGTGTTGGGGTTGAAAAGACCTCTCTGCTTGAATAGATTTGGTGCCACTATTCAGGAAAACAGAAGTCACATATAAGTTACTATAAAATTTAATTTTCTCTGTAGTGAATGAGATCTGGTGATGTTCAGCTCTTCTTTGTGGACAAGAACCTTCTTCCTTTCTTCTTCCTGAAGAATAACAGGCATGGACTGTAGCTATTACTATTTAGCTATTACCGAGCTATTACCAGCATTAACTGTTTCACTTAGCTGTACACCAGTCTTTAGCCCTGATAGCACCTTCCCAATGCTACAAAGGTTGGCTGTAGGATCAGTGCTCTTTGTGGCCTGTCTCCTCTGGCAACATTAGCAGCTGTGCAGTGTTTTTCAAGAAAAGACAGATGATTCTGTCAACTTGCGTGGGTTTTCATACCATTTGCAAGGCCTATCTAATTTCTCTCTGCAGTGGCAACAAGATAACAAACCGTCTTTGTTCACAGTTTTCCCAAGACGCGTGCTGGCACAAAAGAAGTGCCACTGGCACGCTGCAGACCAGCAATGGCTACACTTTGGCGGATAGGAAGTTGTTCTGATGCACAGTGTTTGCAAAATAAGATAAGATCTTGTGTGGGCAGAAAGTGATAAATATGTGCAAATATTTAGTGTTGCATTCTGCAGCCTGGGAACACCATTTGGGCCAGCTTTGTAAGAGCAGCATCTCTTAGGAATTTCACTTCCTCTCATAATCTGTTGTCAATGTGACACGGCAGATTAGAGTTCAGCCTTGGAAACTGCAGGCTGTTTCCTTCTATTCCTATTTGACACACATTTTTGCTCAAAGTTGTGAACTGCTTCCATCTTTTTTGGGAGGCAGTACAGATGCATGCATTTAACACTTCTTTCTCTTTCTGAAGCTGAGTCCAGTTTACCAAACTCTGAACCAAGGAAACCCGTCATTTCTCATCCAGAAGGAATGTATGTAAATTTATCATCTTAATTGATGCCTCTCCATGAGTTTCATATAATCAGCCCTTGTAGCTTAACATGCTAATGAACAGGGTAAGTAGAAATCTAATAGGTTAAAGGAATGCAGACCAATTTGTCTGAGTCCTGCTGAGACCTGCGGTGTAAGTTTTTCAAAGATTTACTCATTTCTTTCCTGTCTTTCACTTAGACACCTTCCACACCTATTTCTGTTGGTCCTCTGTGAGCAGAACTGTTCCCCAAGGTGGACAGAAGCCTCTGTGAGGATGTGCAGAGGGGTCAGGTATAGAATGCTTGGAGAAGGCAGCGGTGATGGCAATTGCCTTTTCCCTTTGGCACATGTGCAAATCCGTGCGAGACCTCACACTGCCCGAAGCGACACAGCAAGGGCTCTGAAGTGTCGTGCCTCTGCACAGAGCAGCAGGGTTTTGTGTGCATGGTGACAAGTGTGGGAGTCCAGTGAGACCTCTGCTGGGACTGGGATCAGGGAGCAGTGCTGGGCAGGGAGGTGGCCATCTCAGGCAGCTCCTGTGAAGCCCCTCCAAGCTGCCTGGCTCTGCAGTTTGCACCCGAGTCTCTCTAGGCCCGTCAAGTCCTTGCTTCCTCAGAAGCATTCCTGGAAATAACTACATGTACATCTTCAATCTATTTGCCAGTTGCTGCATGTTTTCAGGGCCTGGGATCAGCCAGCTAGAACTACGAGGTTGAAACAGGCTCTTCCTTCTTAAAGGAGATGATGGGATAAATGCTGCCACAAATTGTTTGCATGGTGTGTGAGTAGCATCCCTCTCCCCTACCTTTTGCCAGCCTCATCCATCTTCCCTGGAAGCTGGTCGGAGCAGGCACTGCTGTGTGCAGTGCCCAGGACAGCAGCAGCCCTTTTCAAATGGCTCCTTAGTGCTGCCATAATAAGCCTGATAAATAAAACATGGCTTGCAGACACGGATTTACTGGAGAGGGCTAAGGGGGCTGTAGCTCCCTCATTAGTATCTCCCGGTGCAGCATGTGTGCTCCTCATTATGTGGCACAGTGGCGGTTGTCTAGTCATCCACGCTGAGGCTGCAGCCACTCCAAGGATGCACCAGGGATCCCAGGGAATTTTTTTTGGTTGTTGTTTTTTCTCCTGTGTTAATAATAGGAATTTACAAGACAGTGGGAAAGAAAAAAAAAAAAAGAGGAATGAAGAGGATGAAGGGGGATAGATTGCAACCGTGTCTGATTTTCTCTCCCTTGCACCTCTGTAAATCAGCAGCAAATGCAGAGAAATCCATATAGCTGTGCTAATATAGAATTGGCATGAGCAGGATCAAGACCTCTGGACTGCATGAACTCTTATTTTTGGGGAGCTTTGTTTCTATTCAGTCTAAAATGCTGCTTCTAAACTCATGGCCAAAGTGTAAACTTTATCATCTCCCTCACGGTTTTTGTCTTCTGTTCAGGGAAAAGAAGCAATTTGGCTGATTTCAAGTCGCTTAAAGCTGGGAACTCAGGAATCTGGGTTAATCTGAGCAGGGTTTGTGGAGGTTTGATCCAGCTTTTCTTTCTGGCCACTGCTTAAATCCCTTCTACCTCCTGCATACAAGTTACAACTGCATCATCGTAGTAACCCTGTGACCAAGAGGCATGAGAGTCTCCTCTGAGACTGTAATCTCACTCTAAACAGCTCTCTGGCGGGTGCTCGTGAGTGGCGATAC